TTGAAACCCCAGCTCCCAAGTAATGCCAGCCACAACACTGAATTCCTCAGGGAGGTGCCAGTCTCATCCTCTTATCTTTCCTTCCACCTCAGGAAATGTAAGAAAATGTTTTTCTCCCTGAGTCTGGCCTTCATAATTCCATTCCATCACAAGGACTGGCTACGGTAGGGATACTAAAATCCCCTTGCTCCATATAGAATTTTTTTTGGGGGGGGGGAGGAATACACTGCTAGCTTCAAACCCTTTACTATATTTTTAATACAAGCTGTGTCTGGCCATTGTCTAGAAAAATCTCAGCTGCTGGTACAAGGGTAAACTGCTGGCCTTCAAGACATCATGTTTCCTGCACAGAAATTTCCACTGAAAATGGTGACGCTGGTGAGATATTGTTATTTTGCTGCCAGGACTCCTTTCCCATTTTTGTGTTTGTGACGAATAATGTCGGAGGCCAGTGTGAGGCAAGAGTTCTGTATGTTGCTGCTTAGAGAAACAGGAAATAAAGCCAAGTACTGTAAGATAAAGTTGCGTATGAAATTACTAGAGAGCACTTGCTTCAGGCAGTAGGAGGTGGGAGGGAATAAGAAACTTGTGAAGAGCCCATTTCAAAACACATGGAATTCCAGGGATAAACATTCAAATTTGATTGCATAGTCATCACCTAGATATCTGCCTTTCTAACTCTGTGTAAGCTGGACAAGTGAGTTTTATATAAGTATAGCATAAACTACTTACCCCTATGATAGGTGGAAAGCCCTAGAGATGGAGTAGACATGAGATTATTATAGCAAGTATTTAATAGTAAACTAATTAATATGCCTGAGATGTTGTTATGGACTGCATTCCATTCCCTCACTGAAAAATGTGTTCAGCTGAGAATGTCTGTTCTAGACAACTATGTGCCTTGCATTTCACATATTTCTTTCTCTGATGAAAATTGTCCTTTTTCTTCATCCTATTACTGACTCCTCCTCCCATCTGCTTTATACATATGATTAGAGTAATATAGAAAGAACTAGGGTGCCAGTCCATGTTTTGAAGCATTTGGAGGTCTCAAGGACTCCAAAAATAATTTTTAAAAGTCCACCAGCTCTCACAAAACTCAGGATATGTTTATGAAAGGGGAGATGATGTCAAGGCCACTGAGTGAGAAAATGTCATGCTCCCTGTGGACTGGAAAGGATTGCCACTAATCTGGGAATGGGGCTGTCTGGTGTTGGATCAAATGCAAGTTTTAGGGAGGATGTAGGCCCTAAAACTTACGCACAGGAATTTGCACTTTAGAAATTAAGTTGTCTCATTTTTTTTTCTCCACCTTCCTTTCTCCACATCTTTGTTGGATATCTTTCATTCCTAACATATAAAAAGTCAGTCCTACTCAAATAATTGGACAATATGACACTGTCTGAGTAGACCAGTGTTGTCCAACCTTGGCCACTTTAAGATGAGTGGACTTCAACTCCCAGAATTCCTGGGGAATTCTGGGAGTTGAAGTC